TTTCTCTTCTCAAGGTGTTTGGTTATGTAGTTCTCTCTCTGCTGCGCTGATTCAAAGGCACAAAATACAACACAACAAGGCACAACGTACAAGGCAACAAACTAAATGCATTCACGATATTAATAACCCCAAATAAAGGTGACCCCCTGAGCGAAGAGAATTAGGGGATAAAGAAGAAAAAAGAGAAAAAGATTAAAGAGAAAAATAAAAAACAAAAAGGAGTGCCGAAATGAGATTGGGAAAAGGGAGAGACGAAAAAAACAAAAAGACAAAAAAAAAAAAAAAGTAAGAGAATGAAATAGAGGTGGGGAAGAGGCTATTTGTATGGCGAGAGCGAGGGATTGGAAATTAGATATATAAGTAGGGTGAAATTTAGACAGTGGGTAGAAAGAAGGAATAGGTAAAATCCAAAGCAGGAATAGGGTAAGAGAAACAGGACAACAAAAGGGGAAAAGTGAGGAAGAGAGTTTTGGCTTAAGGGTAAATGTGAGCTAGAGAGAAATGATGCTAAAGGAACGATGAAAATAGTGTGTATAACACTAATCCCAAAATAAAATAAAGAAAAATAAAAAAAAATAATAAAAAATAAAATGACACTTGAAAAAATGGTAAAAGGATAGCAATAATACTGGTTAAAAAAATGTAGTAATTAAAAAGGTAAAATCAAGTGATGAAAAAAATAAAAAATAAAATAAAAAAATAAAATAGGTTCTTAATGAAATGGTGAAAAAAGAATTAAAAAAATATATATATATATAAAAATATTCGGAAGTGAAGGTGCTTCAGATCTTCCACTCTTCTTTTTGGCACGCCTCAGTCCTGCCAGGCATTCAGGGGAGTGTTGAACTTCCCTGCGATACACTGTCCCTCCGTGCAGTAAACCACAGACCTGATTTTAAGGCGGCTTATATTTGTTTACCAGACTGCCTTTATTTGTGATCACAGAAGAGACAGTTCGTGGCTCTGCCTCTGGGTGGCAGTGTGTCTGGTTTGACCTCCGAGGCTATAAGTCCTCTCTATCAGTAGGGTTTTTTGTTGTTGTTTTTTTCCCTCTATGGTATTTGGCACTGATTCGGGAAAGACCACTGCCCAGAGCTGGTTCCTTGCCACTGCCCGCTGTTTCCCAGGCTCCCCAAAAAGAACTTTCCCCTACAGGCTCTGCGAATGACCCCAACTGGGGAATCCCATGCACTGGGTTTAATAATCAAATGCACGGATCTAAGGGGAACTGTAACAAGAGCCTGATAGTTGTGCGAATTCGCAAGCCTCCACCTTCCAGGTCTGCGCACAGTCTCCGCGCGCAGTCTCCGCGCGCCCACTCGCCCCTGGCACCAAGCAGCCAACAGATTGGCAAAGTCCAAGGCTGCTCCTTTACATCCAGTCCAGCTATGGGCTCATTTTTCGCGTTCCCTTCTGCCAGCAGCTCTGTGGGGCCCCTTCCCCACTCGCGGGTCACGCTGGTCCCAACGGCTGCGGACTCTGTGGGGCGCAGATTCCGCCCCACGCGAGCTCGGTCCTCCCTCCAACCCGAACTGCAAACCGCACCTTTAGGGGATGTCCAACCTTTCCGTGAGAAGAAGCAGTGCTCCTCTGAGTTCAGGCAGTCACGCAGCTTGAATCCCTTGTTTCCAGGTTAGTAGCTGGTCTCTGGATGCCGGCAACAACCACCCAAGATGGCGCAGTCTCCGCTGCTTAGCTGGCGCACCAGGAGAGGCTTCAGCCGCAGTCTCCAACCGTCCTTTTTTTCCTGGGGTGTTCTCGGTCTTTCCTAGCTGCAGACAGTCTCTCAGCTGAAGATCCTCTGCCTATTCAGGCTGCATGTTACCCGTTTCAGCTGCTCACCCTTATCTGCTCCAGGACAAGGCACAGGACACATCCGTTTATACCGCCGCCATTTTCCCTCTCTATTCACTTGATTTTTATATTCACTTGTTGATAGATATATATTTGTTGTCACTTTGTTGTTCATAATTTTTATCTTTACCTTTTTCTTCTTCTTCCTCTTCTTAAAGAATACCCTTCAGCATTTCATATAATACTGGTTTGGTGGTGATGAACTCCTTTAGCTTTTTCTTATCTGAAGCTCTTTATCTGACCTTCAATTCTAAATGATAGCTTTGCTGGGTAGAGTAATCTTGGTTGTAGGTTCTTGCTATTCATCACTTTGAATATTTCTTGCCACTCCCTTCTGGCCTGCATAGTTTCTGTTGAGAAATCAGCTGACAGCCATATGGGTACTTCCTTGTAGGTAACTAACTGTTTTTTTTCTTGCTGCATTTAAGATTGTCTCTTTGTCTTTTGCCCTTGGCATTTTAATTATGATGTGTCTTGGTGTGGTCCTCTTTGGATTCCTCTTGTTTGGGGTTCTTTGCGCTTCCTGGACTTGTAAGTCTATTTCTTTCACCAGATAGGACAAGTTTTCTGTCATTATTTTTTCAAATAGGTTAACAATATCTTGCTGTCTCTCTTCTTCTGGCACCCCCATAATTCTGATGTTGGTACACTTGAAGTTGTCCCAGAGGCTCCTTACACTATCTTCATATTTTTGGATTCTTTTTTCTTTTTGCTTTTCCGGTTGGGTTTTTTTTGCTTCTTCATATTTCAGATCTTTGACTTGATTCTTGGGGTCCTCTAGTCTGCTGTTGGATCTCTGTATATTATTCTTTATTTCAGTCAGTGTATGCTTAATTTCTAATTGGTCCTTTTTCATATCCTTGAGGGTCTCACTATATTTCTTGGAGGTTTCTAGAAGATTCCTGAGTAACCTTATAACCATGGTTTTGAACTCTATATCCAATAGTTTGCTTTCCTCCATTTCTGTCATTTGTGACCTGTTTCTTTGTCTCCGCATTTTGGCTGCTTCCCTGTGTTGGTAGAGTGGCTTTGTGTGCTAGGTGTCCGATAGTGCCCAGTGGCTCAGCCTCCCCAGTCACCTGAGGTGGATGCTCTCGGTGCACCCCTTTGTGGGCTGTGTGCAAAGTCTTATTGTAGTTAAGCCTTGATTGTTGTAGGTATCACTGGGAGGAATTGACCACCAGGGCAATTGGTGTGAGGACCAGCTGTGTCTACAGTGGGAGAACTTCTGTGCTGGAGACACCCTTATTGGGCAGGACTTGCTTCAGTGGGGCTTTGCTGCTCACTGAGTCTACCCCTTAAATGTGTCGCTTATGGATCTGAAGAGATGTATTCTGGTATGGTCTCACACTGACCACTGGGTAGATGGGCTCTTGGATGTCTAAGGAGTTGCAAAGTCACCCACTACCTGAGGCCACCCAGCAGGAGCTACAGAGAGATCTTCAGATTCCTCCTCTTTGTTTTGGGTTTGGAAGTGCTCAGATGAGGCCCAGCTTGGAAGCAATGCAGGCTTCTGTCAAGCCTTAGTCCATCTTTTGGAAGCTTTAGTGCTCTTTGACCCAGCAGCAGTTTGTTAGGTTTTAGATTGCAAAGAACAGGCCATTCATATTCAAAAGCCTCTGCTCTCAGCTTGCGTGGGGTTGTAAATTGGGTGGAGAGGGGTCTCAGGGAATCACAGGGTGGTGCAAACAGCAATAGCTGCCAGTCTGCCCTGCCTCTGAGAGATCCCCGGGTCTCTGTGTCCTGTGCCCCGTGCAGGAACAATGATCACTGCAAGCACCTCTGCGAGAAAGCCACCCTCACGTTCCTGTCCCAATGCCAGACAGTCTAGTTTCTCCCCATATGAGCCTGGGTCCCCAGAGTCTCACCTGGAACTTGAGTTCAGAGCAATGGGGAGCTTGTATCTCCCTCCCAATTGAAAAAGACAACAGTGTATCTAGTTGCCAGCCTGTTTCCACGCATGGCTCTGTACCCCCTCACTTCCGTACCTCCTACCCATCTCAATGCACTTTTCTCTTTCCTTCTAGTTGTAGAAGTTCCACTCAGCCAGCCTTCCTGTGGTTCTGGATAATATCTGTTTTGTCTTTTAGTTGTACTTTTGATGTGGTTGTGTGAGGCAGCAAGTACAAGTGTGTACCTATGCAGCCATCTTGGTTCCTCCTCTGTGTGCTTTCTTTAAAACACTTTTCTCATAGATTTTCTGCCACTATGTATTGAAAGAAAAGTTGGATCAGACTAAAGTAAGAATTCCTTCTTTTTAACCGCAGCATAGTATTCTATTGTGTAGATGTACCACAGGTTTTTAATCCACTCATCTGCTGATGGGCACTTAGACTGTTTCCAAATCTTAGCTATTGTAAATTGTGCTGCTATGAACATAGGGGTGCATATATCCTTTCTGATTGGTGTTTCTAATTTCTTGGGATATATTCCTAGAAGTGGGATCACTGGATCAAATGGGAGTTCCATTTTTAGTTTTTTGAGGAAACTCCATACTGTTCTCCACAGTGGCTGCACCAGTCTGCTTTCCCACCAGCAGTGCAAGAGGGTTCCTTTTCCCTGCATCCTCACCAGCACTTGTCATTTGATAACCATTCTGACAGGTGTGATTGGAGAGCATTATGTTAAACGAAGTAAGCCAGTCAGAGAAAGGTAAATATCACATGATCTCACTCATTTATGGAATATAATGAACATAAACTGATGAATAAAAACAGATCCAGAGACAGAGAAGCATCGATCAGACCATCAAACCTCAGAGGGTAGGCAGGGGAGGGTGGGGGTAAGGAGGAGAGATCAACCAAAGGACTTGTATGCATGCATATAAGCCTAACTAATGGACACAGACACCAGGGGGGTGAGGGCATGAGTGGGGGGTGTGGGAGGGCAATGGGGGGATAATGACACATATGTAATACCTTAATCAATAAAGAGAGAGAAATATATAAAAAAATTTTAAAAGACTGAAGTAAAAATAGAGTTCATTTCTGAGTTCCAGTTATCTAGTTTCTCCTAGTGGGTTATACAGAATTTGTAGTTTATTTATCTATTCACCCCTCTTCCTGCATGCTAGTAGTCTATTCTACTAGTGTCTTCTCAACCCCACAGAATACACATTTCATTTTCTTCACCTCTTGTCTTTCCAGGTAAAATGTCCAGTGATCGAGCGTTGAGGAAGCAGCAACAGTTAAACAACCTTGTGTATGTGGTGACAAATCAGGCCAAACCTGGTGATAGAATTGTGGATTTTTGCAGCGGTGGGGTATGATATCTCTTCACGTATCTTTTTAGTCTTTCCAAGACTCTGTGAATTTATATTACATTCAAGGACATGCTTTTATTTGTTAAGATTGTTATCTCAGGATGAGCAGAAACCTTAGGGACCAACTTTAACATTTCTGTCTTTTCCTGCCTCTTTTAGGGTCACCTTGGGATTATGCTCGCTCATATGCTGCCATTATGCCAGGTAAAGTCTGAATAACAGATAAAAGAAAACATCAGAAAACGACATGATTCAGTTAGCTGAGCCTGGCTTATACCTGTTCTTTGAGTTTATAATCATTCACCCGGGTCAAATGTGTGGCACAGGCATTTCCTTTTTTCTTTGAACTATACATCTAAGATTCAAAATCTTAAGGAATAAGTAGGATCACAAGAGTTTTTAACTGTATAAAAGAGTTATATATTAAATAATTTTAAAAATAAATAACTATTCCACTGCTAAATAAAATAATGATAAAACTAGTTTAATCGGCAACAAAATTTTATTCTGGAAATACTAGCATCTGAAACTTGTTGAGCATATTCTTTTGGTAACTTGATTTTTATGCATTGTATCAAAATTATAACAACAATAACAAAATTTTAAAGAAAAACAAAATCCAATCTACCTCCCCTGATCCATGAAATGATTTTCTCCTCGTGTTCTTAGTAAGTTCCTGTCCTTGAGGTTAATTATTGTTGCAAAATCTAAAAATGCAAATACAATTTTAGTTATGTTTTCACTCAATATTGTATCAAAAAAGTTTTTCCCTATTGCAAATAGTTGTAAATGTTTTCATCAAAACAGTACCAAAATGTGACCACATATGTGTTTAAGGAAATGTACCATTATTTATGCAATTGGTGCCACCATTTATTAGAAGTTTCCTATTTTTAGTCTTCTGCCATATTAAATAATTTCCTCACAGTGATCATCTTTTAACATAAAAGTCTAGAATTTTATGTCATTTTTCAAAAAATACAATTAAACTGAGGCACATTCTTTGCTTGTGAGCTCTCTAGAATGGACAAAATAGTTACAATGATTACTGCACTCCCAGAGGAAAAAAATGTGGAAGAGCTCATAGACTGGTATGAATGACATATATCTGAATGATGGCAATTGGAGGGCTGGTCTTATGGATTAAATAAATAAGGACTCCTGGGAGAAACAGGCAGGTGTCTGTTTTATTATTTTAAAAAGCAACAATTTCATGATTGGAGTAAGAGGAAGAAAGCTCATACGTGAGACTCCTGTAGAAACAGAGTCCGGTACATGGCATCTTCTTTCCTCCCTAACAGTTCTCCTGGGAACAGAGACCGGGAAGAGGGAAGCGTTTGACACCCAGGGTACTCTGACAGGTTTTATTATACAAAGGATCCAGGATATTCCCATAAAGACGAACGTGAGGATAAAATTAGGGTAGAACTCGGAATGATCATGATGAAAGTGACAATTCTGCCCACTTTTCTCCATCCAAACCGATGCTCCTCTCCTATCTTCCTTGGCCTGGATTACTGTGAGAGACTCCTAATGGTGGTGCTGCCTTCTGCCTCGCTCCACTAATCCATACTATTCATTGCAGCAGCTGAAACTTCTGTTATCACTCATGGTCTGGCTTCTGTTGCCTCTCCAGCCTGATTTCCATCCCCACACCCTGCTCCCCATGCCCACCATCACCGTCACACATTGTGCCCAGCTACACCAGTTTTCTCAGTTCTTCAAACATAGTATATTTCTCACCTTGGGCCTTCATACATGTTTCTCTGTCTGCCTGAAACACTACTTCATTGCCCCAGCTAATTTCTATTAATTGTTCAGGCCTCAGTAAATATGTTAGTTTTCCATATTTTTTAAAAAAATATGTTTTTATTGATTTTAAGAAAGAGGAAGGGATGATGGAGAGATAGAAACATCAGTGATGAGAGCAAATCATTGATCGGCTGCCTCAAAACCCAGGCGTGTGCCCTGACCGGGAATTGAACCATGACTCCTGGTTCATGTGCCAGTGCTCAACCACTGAGCCATAACAGCGGAGCTACTTTTCCAATATTTATTGAATAAAACCTGCCATAATCATCAGGTGTAGGTGCTCTGATAACACATTATATGTCTTTTATTGAGCACTTATCACTGTATTATAATTGCCTATTTTACTTATATCATTACAAGTGTAAGCTTCAAGAGTTCAAAGACCTTGTTCACTTTTGTACCATATTATCTGACATACTTCCTGGCACAGGATAAGGATAAATCTATATATATAAAAGCCTAAGTGACCATTACGACCAGTCGACCAGCTGGTTGCACACTGACCCAGACCTTGCTTCTGGGGCCCGACAGCCCTGAATTTGGTTTACCTACACCCTGGACCCAGACAGGAGAGAGGAGGGAGCCCGATTCTTCACAGAATTGGCCGTTGGTTAGCTTGTTGCTGGGGCCAACTTCCTGTGGTCCCTCCCCCTGGTAGCCAGCCAGGCCGAGGGACCCCACCCATGCACGAATTTCGTGCACTGGGCCTCTAGTATAGAATATATTATACTAGAGGCCCAGTGCACAAAATTCGTGCATGGGAGGGGGTCCCTCAGCCTGACCTTCACCCTCTCCAATCCGGGACCTCTGGCTCCTAACTGCTCACCTGCCTGTCTGCCCGCCCTAACCACTCTGCCTGCCGGCCTGATCCCCCTAACTGCCCTCCCCTGCCAACCTGATCCCCCTAACTGCCCTCCCCTGCCAGCCTGATCTCCCCAACTGCCCTCCCCTGCCGGCCTGGTCACCCCTATTAACTTTTTTTTTTAATCTTATCCCCTTCACACACAATTGTATTTGACTTCCTTATTGGCTTCTCCCTCTCACACAATTTTTCTCTCTCCTTTATGTAATACTTTTTCCTACTGACTCATCATTTATAAACTTTTCTTTCCTCCTTATTTCCTACTTCTGTTCCATCATCCTTCTTCTCATCTTTCTCCTACCCTCCCTCCCCACATTCCTTCTTTCCTTTATCATTACCCCTGCCCTGCCTCCCCTTTTCCTTCCTTTCCACCTTAATTTTTTTCTTCACTTCCTCCCTCGGACCTGCTCTGCTTCCTCCCCCATTTCTTCCTTCTTCCCATTCTCTTTTTAAGCTCTACTGGCTCCCCTTTAAAACTTTTCTTCCCTCCCTCTTTCTCTCTCATCCTACCTTTCCCATACATTCTTCTCTACTTACTTTCACTGTTTTAACATCTATCTATCTATCTATCTATCTATCTATCTATCTATCTGCCTAATTATTCACTATCATTTGTCTTTTTTCTTTTCTGACTCCTACTTTTAAAACCTGTCCCCAGTACAGAACTATACTTGATTTTCATTATAGCTCCTACAGTTCACTCATACATCCTCTTTTCTTCTTTAATTCTGCTCTCTACTGACTCCTTTTTAAAGTTCTTCCCTCTCTCCTTCCCTTCTTAAAGCTTCCATTTGAGGAGGGGGGCATTAACCCCGAGCCCAGGGCTCAGCTTTGGCCAGGTGTTTGCCGCCCCCTCCCCCTCCCCCCGGCCTCCTTCCCTCTGTCCTGCTCCCATTTCCTGCCCGGGATGCCTGGCCCAGTGAGGGTGGCCAAAGCCCGCATGGCCCGGGCACTGCTGCTACTGTGAAGCAGGAGCGCCTCGACCCTGAAGGTCTCAGACCACCCACCACTCTGTCCCAGACCTGTGGGCGCCTCCCTGCCATCCGCCTGCACTGAGGGCCTGGCCACTGTCCTCCTCCCACGTCTGGGCAGGGCTCCCGCCCTACCCCTCACTGAGCACACCTGCTCCCCCCCCCTTCCCTGCAGTCGTCACCCCCTCCCACGTGCAGCCCTGCAGTTTTCTTCCCTTTTCCATTCCTACATCTTTTTCTTGTTCCCTTTCTGTATTTCTGTTTCTCCTCTCGGCCTGTCTGCATACAGGCCTGCCTTCCTCTCCCTCTCCTTTCTTATCCTCTCTTATGGTATCCTATCCTACCCCAGGCCTTGCAGCTGCCTGAGCAGAGGGTGGGGATGCAGCCTGCTGATTTGGTTGTGATGTTACAATGTAACAGATAATTTGCATATTACTCTATTTTAGTATAGATTATTAAGGCTATGAAATACAGTAATAATACTTTGCCCTGATGTCTGAATTATGTTCCTAAATATACTTTGTTTCCTGGGTGAAATCTAGGTTACATTAATAGAAAACAAGGAATTATCACTAATCCGTGCTAAGAAGAGAAGTGATGAGCTAGGTCTAAGCAACATTTGGTTTATTCAAGCAAATATGGAGTATTTTACAGGAATGTTTAATATTGGGGTAAGTAATAAAACAATTTCAATTTCCTTAGTTTAAAAAGTAAGAAAAATGATATGCCTTAGAGTAAATAAAAGAGGTACTTTTATATTCTTTGAGAAACTAAGAAATTTATAACTTTTATTTTATATTATCTACATAATATAGCATACTAATAAATATTATTTTATTCATAACACTTCATCATTATATGATAGAGATAACATTTGTTCTTCAACCAGATAAGAACTTTATTTTCTTCACTGCAGAATCCCCAGTGCCTCAAAACAATGTTTGACACATAGCAAGTACTTAAAAATAACTATTAATTGAATGCAATGAATGAATTCTAATGAAAATGATTTCCCTTGATTTATGCTACATTTTTAGGAGATAAAAAAAAGAAAAACAAAGATAATTGAAAAATATAGCTTATTAGTAACCTATAAATACTAGAGTTATCTTTAAGTAATATTTACTTTAGCTAGGATTTGATATCTACCTGTATTTTTAGCATCCAAGAAACAGAAAATATGTTAATCATGTTTCTAAAACCTTAAGACCAACTTATTATTATTCATTATTACTAAAAAGACCTAAGATGTGTGATTCTACCAGCTCTTTAAACCCAAGTTTGTGTGCTCTGGTGGAATTTGAATTTCATTAAGATATTGGTGTTGCTGCTATTCCTTGCATTTATTTTCAATAAATTTTTCCTGATTTTTATAGGACTCTATGCTCCATACAGAAAAATACATAATATTATTAAGATGAATTATCAGTACTCTTGTTACTGAGAGATTAATACCTGCTAAAAAAAAACTTTGCTCTTTAGATATTTATGCAGCCATACAAATGCATATCAACACATATGCTAACATTGAAATTATACTCTGATTCTGCTTTAATTAAATCTTTTCCCTACTAATTAATCATGTTTCTTTTTTGTTCATGTTGTTATAATGTAATTATTACTATGATGAATATCTTATGCATCAAGATGTTTAAGACTTAATACATTTGCCAAATCACTTTCCAGGAAGGTTGTGATCGTGTGCATTCTCAGCTGTATGTGTTCACATGACAGTCTCAGTGGGCTCATCTAATGGAACTCTTGTCCAGGTTCAGATGCTCAGACCTTTGGTCGTGCTTCTGATGTTTTTCCAGTGAAGGTCATTTCTTAAATACATGCTACTGAAATTTGTGCAGTTTGTTGTTATTTTTTATAGCCTAAAGAGTATGTAATTTGTTTCCTTTGTAGATAGAATCTAGATTGGTTCTCTCAAGCCAAACCTATAAAAAGAGAAGTAAACTTTAAGAAAACTATTAATAAGGTAACTGTTCATAAGGAAATTCAGGAAAATGCTGACATCTGATCCAGCAAATTAAAATTAAATGTATATTTAGGAAAAGATTAACGCTTCTTCCATGAAATGAGTTATTGAGACAGTGCCCATGTTACCAACACACCAGGCAGAATGTGTCAGGTAGCGAGACATTGCTTCCCATTTATTCCCCTCTCAATTTACAAAATGCCCAGCCTATTGGCCATATGTCTCTTTATCCTTCTTTGTCTTATAGGTGCTAAATTATTGTGGCATATTCTTACATATTTCAAGGTCATAATTTACTAACACCAACTAAAAATGTGTAAGTCTTTTTGGAAGTGATATTTGCTCTACATTTCATAATCTATATAATAAAAAGGTAATATGCAAATTGACTGTCACACCATCACAAGATGACTGTGCCCGCACCGGAGACAGGGTTCCCATAACAAGCCATAATGCACGATCAGCAGGAACGTGAGGCTGCGTGGTGCCAGGCGGGGGACATGAGGCTGTGCCCCCCGCCCAGCAGGGCTTGACGGGGGACCTGAGGCCGCGCCCCCTGCCCCAGCGCCTCAGGCCGTGCCCCACACCCCAGTGCCGGGCCGGGGGATCTGAGACCCCATCCCCTGCCCCAGCGCCAGGCCGGGGGACATAAGGGTGCACCAGAGAACCTGAGACTGTATTCCCCGCCCAGTGGGGCTTGATGGGGGACCTGAGGCTGCACCTCCCTCCCCCCCGGTGGGGTTTGACGGTACCTCAGGCTGTGCCCCCCATCTGGTGGGGCTTGACAGGGGACCTCAGGCCATGCCCCTCGCCCCAGGCCAAGGGACCTCTAGCCACGACCCCGCTCGACAGGGCTTGACAGGGGACCTCTGGCCACGCTGCCCGCCCTGGGCCGAGGGACCAAGGGACCCCGGTGCCAGCCCTGGGGACCTAAAGGTGTGCTGGGGGACCCGAGGCTGCAATGTTTCTTTCATCTCTGACACTTCTATGACAGAGAAAGTGCAAATAGTGATATCAAAGTATTTCTTCTAATTGAATTCCTTTCAATGTGCACAAATCCGTGCACCAAGCCACTAGTATTACAGAAAAGGCCATTATTGTGGAAAAACACTTTGCACTAGAAAACAAAAACTGTCCATGCTAAGCATCCTGCCCTACAAAATGCTATTGTTGAATAATTCCAGCAATAAAATACAGTCATCTCAGCCAGGAAATAAGGTATTGATTTTTAACAGTGGGATAAATATGTTTTATCTGTCAATGTATATCAGAATCTCAGAACAATTTATTTTCAAGTTATCTATTTATATTTTTCTATTTAACTTATAAATTTCAATATAATTATGATTTATCAGGTCTGAGTGCTTAATTACAAGCTCATTTCTAGTTATGTATGTTAATGTACAATTAGAAGATGCTAATGCAATTATAGAATGTAATTCAGTAACACTTTTGGTGAACAATTTATATAATCTTTTTTTAAAGGGTAATGAACTTGAGAAATTATATATTATGCAAACACAATTTAGAAAAATCATTAAGGCCAAATAGAGGACTTCCAGGTGAAGAGGCAGATAGAGGTATTTTAACCCTCTTTTCCCCCAAAAAAATCACACCCCCAAGAAACAGAAAAATTGTACTCCATCATTAATGAAATTACTATCACCATTCTGTAACTTGAGCCACAATTTAGACAGAAATCAGATTGAAGGAAAATGATAAATTATTGAACAGAGAAGAACTTAAATGCATGAGGAAAAGGAATGGCAAGAGGTTATTAGAAAGTAAGTCTCTTTGCTCTCACAGAATCCCAGAAAATTTTAGGAATTCAGCTACCAGAAACCTCAGAGGAAGGGTGTAGAGAAGGGCTGAAATTATATTTAATTAAAAATATTTAGGGACCCATATTCCCACCCCTATCTGTATAAATAGGTAACTATTTCTCCCTACTCCTGCAAGAGGTTGGAGGTTTATTCTATAAGGAAACTGAGTCAGAGACGCTCTAAATATAGGGATATGAGGCACAGAGGAGGACAAGGGTGACATGGACACCGAAAACAGGAGCTAAGCGAGAATCTGCTTCCCAAATGATGAGAAACTTCTCCCCACCACACCCCACCTTGCTATTTGCTCTTAATTCCAAAACTTCAGAAGCTGGAATCATCTCCTCAATCAAAAGTTTTAAAAGATCCTTTGCAGAATCAACTGTTCCCAGAGAAAGAATTACAGGTACCATAACTGAATTCAAATAAACAAAAACCAGCTGGTCACCTGCTTACCCAGTCACTAGTAAAGCCCTCCAGTCTTCATTCAGAACTTCCAACCAACTTTTAGTGATTTGCTCTTTAATACAAACTGACAGCCAAGGAATATCAAACATGGAAAACTTCCACAATAGAAGATGGAAACCAAAGCAACAAATGTGACAAAGGATCTGATTCGGGGAGAGGTCAGAAGAGATAACACATAGATGAAGCAAGGATAGAATTTTAAAAAATGAACCATCAGAGGACTTCTTGGAAATTAAAAATATATTAACTACCTAGTTCATTTGGGATCAGTGGTTAGAGTATCGGCCGGCAAACTGAAGGATTGTGGGTTCAATTCCCGGTCAAGGGCACGTATCTTGGTTGCAGGTTCAATCCCTGGCCCTGGTAGGGATGAGCCGGAGGCAACCAATTGATGTGTCTCTCTCACATCTTTATCTCTGTATCTCTACGCTCTCTTATCTCTCTAAAAAAATCAATGGAAAAAATATCATTGGGTAAGGATATTATATACATCGGTATATAGAGATGTATAGATATATATATATATATGTTTACTTTGGTAAACATTTACACATATACTAGTACTAGTACATAACAAAATAAAAGTAGAAATCTAAAAAATGTAATGTAGAACATTACCTGAGGAAAATATAGAACAAAAGCCTGACTGGTGTAGCTCAGTGGTTGAGTGTCGACCTATGAACCAGGAGGTCATGGTTTGATTTCCAGTCAGGGCACATACCCAGGTATGCCCTTGATCCCCAGGAGGGGTATGCAGGAGGCAGCTGATTGATGATTCTCTCTCATCATTGATATTTCTTTCCTTCTCCCTTCCTCTCTGAAATCAATAAAAATATTTTTTAATTATATAGAACAAAAAAAAATCAAAGGAATAGGAACTGGAAAGAAGTTATGTTTTTAAAAAAATTAGAGATTCAGTTCACAAAGTTCAATGCTTCAATAATAAGAGGACCAGAAAGAGGAACAGATAAAATGGTCAGGAGAAAAATACAAAGAACTAATAGAAGGAAATGTGTCAAAAATAATGTGTTTCTTTTTATTGAAAAGCTCACTTGAGAAATGACCTAAACCAAGATACATTGTTGTGAAATTTCCTAACAGTTCCGGGCGGGGAGGGGAGGGGGGGGGGGGGGGGGGACTTAATACTAAAAAAAATTTAATCAAAATGCTATCACACTTCTCAATAGCAACATGAAAGACAGTGAGGCAAAGACTTTAAAATTCTAAAGGAAAAGTTCCAGTCTAAAATTCTATACCTTATCAATCCAACCACCATGTATGAAGGAAATAGGAAATGTACTTCAGGAAACTACCTGAAGATTAGCTGCACCAAAACAAGAGAGTAAATAAGAAAAAAGAATAAGCGGTATCCAATACAAGAGGGGGTGGGGAAAGTCTT